ATGATATGAAAATTATGATTAGCGGTAACATTCTCAATAATTCTTCCTGCATTCCTCTACAGAACGTTTGTAGCACTGAACAGGCGGTAATTAGACTCATGTTCCGAGAGTCTACTGTTTTTGCGTGTTTTGTCATGACGAGCGTTGTAATTCTTCACGTTCAATGTAAGTAAAATATTGTGGTGAACACTTGCTACTCACCCGAGCAACTTGGTTGTGATTTTCGAGATATTGCATTTTCTGAGTGTCCGCTAGAGTAATTTCCTTTAAAAACTCTCGGTAAAATAACCTGGTTTTAAACTACTGTTGACTCAGCTGTAAACATAACTTGATTTAATGATGATTTCTTTTTCGTTCCAGGTGCTCGAGCCTCTGGAAATGTGCAGAGTTCAGCGCAACAAAGAGATCTTAACGGACTGTTGAAAAGTAGGTAAATCGGTCCAAGTAGAAAGTCTTGAAGTTGTGCTCTAAGTTTAACCCCTGATAGGCGGAGAAAACAAGACTTTTACTTGATATGCCGGCACCATGTGTAACCCTTTCCGGCACTGTTTTCAAGAGTGATTTACATTACTATGATAATAGATTGCCCCTTAGGTAGTTGTCAATGACTATTACGCTTNTGTTCGGCGAGAACCGAGCCAAGCTTTCTGCGGTCAATTTCGACTGCGAGACTGCTGGGGAGGAGGCTACCAAGATCTGGTACAATCAGGGCAGTAACTACTCCTTCGCTGATCCACGACTGAATAGTAACACTGATTCATTCACTCAGGTTATCTGGAAAGAAACCCGGGATATTGGAATGGGCTGCGCACAGAGAAAAGGAACTTTAAGTAATGATATCTTTGTTGTTGCTTTGTACTACCCCCCAGGGAATAGCCCGCGCGCTTTGCGGCAAAACGTCATCAGCCCCAGCAGAAATGTGAATGATGCATATTCGTCGATATTCCGGAAGCGGAATGAACTGCAGCAAACCAGACGTGCATAGGTAGTGGTCCGTGGGAAACCACATTAGCACGTGCGCAAGAGCAGAGCAAAGCAAAGGGCTTACAACTATCAACATGATTTCATTGTTAGATACACCCTCTTGGCAAAGGACAAGAGGATAGTCCAAACACTGGAGAAAAAGTAAATGAAAGTTTATACACACACTACCGAGAAAAGCTCTCAGTATATCTCTTCTGTTTAACGGCTGGCTGAACTCTTTCAATCCTGCTAGCGATGGGCATCTA